TCATTCATTGAAGAAAATCGGGGGGATATATTGTTAGAGCATCTATCATTATTTAAATATTTTAGAAAATATTGTAATAAAAAAATAATGAATTATTTATAATCAGTTTTTGGCCATGTTTACTTAGATATCCAAGTGAAAAACATAATTTTATAAATTATAAAGTTTATTAAGATAGATAAATAATTTTCTTACTGGTTATGTTAGTAACATCTCAGTAGTGTCTTGTATACTTATAAATTGTAGAAAAGAAACCAGTTCGATAAAGTTAAATTGCACATAATATTATATATCGGATTGTACATTAGAACGAATGAAAAATTATATGGGGAAATATTAACGAGGTCAACAACAGTAATTGCGTTACCTTTTGAATCAGGATGTTTCTATTAATAAAATAATATATTATATTTTGCATTAGTACTCGTTGGTCGTGGGTGATAATGCTTTACTTGTAGAATATTGGATAAGAATTTATAGGGAGGCCAAAGACTAAGATTTAATCTCTCAAGTTCCAATACTTGTCATTTAGTAAATCTTTGGTTATTCTTCAACCTAAAGTCCATCCCTGCAAAGCCGTGCTTCGAAAAAATTTTCAGAGAGGCTATGCAAGTTTTAGTAAACGGCGTATAAAATAAAAAACAATTTATAAATGCTTTAAAGCATTTAAATATAATATATATTTTAAGTACCCATACATAAATAATTAATAAGGTTTGTTAATAGTTAATTAAATACTCATAATACATAATAAAAAAAAAATTTACAGCATAAATTTTAAATTTCTATTTTTTCTTTAAAAAAACAGTTAATTATTTCCTCAGAATCAACTTGAATATTCTTATGTACATTAAGTAATGCTAAATCGGTTAGTCCGTCTTCAGCGGTAGCGTTTTAAATAGTTCTTAATTCTTTTTAAGAAAAAATTCCTTTCGAGCATTGGGTTGACAATGATAAAGTAATCAAAACTTTTAATTAAAATGAAATGTTAATTTAAGTTTAATTGTAAATTATTTGATAGAATAGCGGACGGGTAGGGAAAAACCGCGTACTCTTAAATATTATAACACCTTATGAATTTTAAAAAATCGGTTTATTAGTAACACATCTGATATAAACATACTGAAAAATTTCATATTAGTTTAACCCAGGGGTTGGCAATTAAATTCTATGGAGGTCTAGAAAATCAAAAAAAAAAAATTTCGAGGGCCAGTAAAAACTAAAAACTTAGATATTAGTTAATAATTGTTGTGTTATCGCAACTATTATTGTAAATAGCAATAAACGATAAACACCATCGTAATCTATAAATACTTCATAAAATAGATAAAATATATATTATGTGTGGAAAACCAGCATTATTAAAAAATATATCTTTTGTGGTCCGATTATTTTTCCTTCGCGAGCTGGATTTGGCCCGCGGGCTGCCTATTGCCGACCACTGGTCTAACCTGTGAAATGCTTTACATAAATGTATTTATTATATACCTAAATAATACAGAGTAGGTTACCATATTTAACTATTTTCCTTCATAGAAAATAATATTGTGGTAAAACCAAAAAATAATATGGCTTGTCATATAAATATATATACCTATGCATGATATAATAAAATATAGTACCTACTTATATTAAGTATTTTTCTAACTTTATTTCCTATGAAAATAAATATTTTATTATTGCCCCTAATTTACCTTGAGAATGTTTTACGTCAACAATTAGTTATAGTTAAAATATTTATTCTGATTTATGACGTTATTAATTTCAATTTTATAACTTATAGTTAATTTTATAGGAAGTAAAATGTATGAAACATAATCTTAGGGATTTTGGATTATGGAAAAAGAAATAAGAATTATATAAATATCAAATAAATATTTTTCATACGGATTGGAAACAATATTTTTATCCTATTTTTATACATACTAAATTATTGAAATTTCATAATATTTAATAATTATTTTTATTCTGTATATAAATTAAAATTTTAAAAATATATTTAATTTTTTTCTGTTTCCAATTCATAGTAATTATTTATATTAAATCTACTTAGAAATAATAATCTAATCAGTTATTTACCTTCACATTATATGATAAAAAATTTTTATGTACAAAACGTATGTTCAAACAATATTTTTTTTTACAGATCTTAAAAATCCTTTTGTAGTAAATTTTGAATCTGTTTTAGTAAACATAAAAATAGTTGTATGACTGTATGAGTTAAAATTTTAAATTAAACGACTGATAATTATTAATAGTTAAATTACGCATAATATGTCTCTATTATAAAAAACATGGCTGTAAAGCCACATTAATTGAAAATTACGTTGTGCGCAGAATATTAAGTTTGTCATAAATATTAACACCAAAAATCTAAAAAAAAAGAAAATATCGATGGCTAGAATACCTATGGGGTCGACATGTGTAATGAGAATTGAGATTTGCCAATTGTATTTGTACGCATAATATATATGCATGGAACAAGTACTGCTCAAACGCAAATATTTTGTACTATACAAATTCGTTTCGAGTATAATTCATAATGTAAATTTGTACTAATGTGGATTTGGCTTGATATGTAATTTTTGTAAAAATTATGGTTTACAAAAGAAACAATTGACAAATTTATTAGACTTTGGATACTATAATTATAATAAAATAATTAATAAAACAATTGATATATTTCGAAGGAATTAATGAGAAACGTAATAATTTTAAAACTATCTAGTATGTAGTTGTTAATAAATGTGTTTTTATCATGTATATTTATGTAATTATTGTTTACATGGACGTAGGTAGGAAATATTTTCGGAGGAAGTATTGGTCTAAGTCTATATTAGTATTATAAAACATTAAAATTAAATATAAATTATTTATTCAGTTTTATCTTTAATTTTGGGGGATGTTTGAACACTCAAACATCCCTCCCCCTTATCTACACCTATGATTGTTAACAAATATTCAATAACAAATAACGAAATACTAATATTTTGATGGATTAAAATAAAAAAAATATTAGTTTTAGTTATTTTATTGTAAATAATTTGGAAAATTATATTTGATTGTAGATTGCATAAATAATTACTAATCACTTAATTCTAATAGTATTTTAATGGTCCTTTAAAAATAATCCAGTGACTTGTGATCGCCCCTATTTAATTATTTCGGCAAATCATAAAATGAATACATTTTATATGAAATCAGGCATTATAGTTAAAGTTGTTAACATTATTTATTTTAATATTAAAAATATATTTGTTTATCTGCATGAGCTAGAAAAATTTGAATTTTGATGCTTAATTGTTTTTCATGAATTTACAATAATAATGGCTTAAGTTTAAAAATATATTAAAAGGTAAGTTTATTAGATTAAAATGTCAATGATATCTTAAGTTAAAAAAGTTGAACAACTATTAAGACAGACTCGTGTTGTTTTCATTATTTTAAGAAAATGAATTACATTATTATTTTAAAATTTTACTTATATTGAATTTTTAGAGAAACCCTTTGACTTTCCACTTTGTTGATGTCCAAATTACACGCACCTATATATTTGTCTTACAATAGATATTTATCAATGATTAGCCAAAAATTACCAAAATATTTAAATAATGAAATCATTATTTTGGTATTCAAAAATTAATTTATCCTTTACCCTTTATCTGTAGATTAATATTGAATATTTATATTATTTTTAGGCTTACATTAATAATATACGTTACTTTAAGTGTTGTTTTAAATTACCATTTATTAGTGTCAAAAGTCAAGTTCAACAAAGTATTTTAATTTTAAATCATATTAAAGATCACCACTGTATATGATATCTTCATCAAATTAACATATAATTGTATTAATATTTTAGCACTCAAGATCTTGTATCATTAGATTGCATGATTAAAAAAAGGAGTCTGGGTTCAAATCCCGTTATGTAAAATATCAGCATACTAAATCCCGACTATTAATATTGATCACCAAACATGTTTAAATATTATTTTATTCATTATTTAACAATTTAGTTTAAAAACATAAACAGTATATTCCCCTACATTCTACAATAACATTATATTTATACATCATATTATTATATATTATTGTATTAGTTAATCATATTCAATAACTTAATCTAATAACACAAATAATTTTTTATTTTATTTATAAATCATATTATTTTATATTATTATATTTATTATTCGATATAATATTCGGTATGTGACTGCCGATCGTCATTAAACATTAAAACTACATAAAATTATATTGGTATTATAAGCCAAATTCTGTAAAATTTTATAATTTATAATTTTCATATATTATTACATTAATTATGATAATACCCAACTTATACGAGCCACGAGCCGTGAACTGAGCCCAGCTTTATTGATAATGTTATCGATTAATCAATTAGTTTTGGAGCAATAAATATTAGTTTTATCCGTAATATACAAACCGTTATAGATGAAATGTTTGAAATATTTAGTATTGGATGAAAATACATGGTAATTAAGATAAGTTACAATTCCTAAATTGTTTTAGAATTAATTAAATTTATGTAGTGTATATAAATAATAAAAAAAATAATTTTATCGGAAATTTTGAACTCATACCATATTTAAATAAATAATTTTTGTATGATATAATTCAAAATTGAAAAAAATAACATCGTAGAGTTTTTTACGGTCAATCATGTAGCTTTTCTTTTGTTTTTCTATGTTCTTTGATAGATCGATAAATTTGTTCAATTGTATCGTAAAAAAAGTGATTTATGTTCGATCGTGTTGTAGGCGTTGTAGCCTATAAAGAATGTCGATTAAGTTCATTTTATGATATTATAGTTATTAATTATTTTACAACTAGTGTAACGATATACATGTTATTGACACATCATTTATGCTGCACTCTGCGATTTTTGCTTAGGTCAGAAGAACACAGGAACGTAGAATACGAGTATATGCAAATCATTGAAATAGCTAGTCAGTCGAGTTTAGTTCGTGAGATAGAGTCATCTTTGTATTTTTAAGTGATATTTTTAATTTGATTTACTATAGGTAAAATAACCTACCTTATAGATAAATCGTAATTTATACAATCGCTTCAACTCGTACTCCGCTAACACCTGTGATGTTCAAATACTACCCTCAAGAACAGGGTTACTCAGGTGATAGTGTATTGTGTAATTATATTAATAATGAGTCATTTAAATAAACCTTACGTTGTTATAATATCGTTTCTATTGTGTTATTTATGAGCGCAGGTCATACGTTTCTAGGATCTCTAAAATATAACTTAGAAAACTTTATTTGTATCAGTTCAACAACCCGGTCCTTAAGACCGGTTCGTGTATTGGAAATAGCTAACCAACTACTCCTTAACTGGATAGAATTAGATATAAATATCGACAGCCACTTTGTTTTATTAAACGGGTAGGTGTGTTGCACTAGTAATACAGTAGGTTGAATTATTTTTTCCAAATAATATAACACATTATAATTATATAATTAAAGAGTCTCATTTTCTCAATAAATCGTTATTCTTCGCTTACGTATCTAATTTCGTTCAAAGTTGAACTTAAAATATTTATATAAAAAAAAAAAAACTGTGTTTATATTGAAAAATAAGAAAATTGTTTGTTGTAAATTCGTTAATTTACGGGTGATTAATAAATTAATTTTTTGACAAATTAAAAATTAAAAATTTTTTGACAAATTACACTTATTTTCAAGTATTATAATAGTAAATTTTAAAGCATGGATAATGTACCAGTATAGCACTATACGAATAACACGCCAAAATACGTTTTTTTCATTTGAAATATTCAATTGTTCACGGTAAATAATTGAGAGTTTTAGATTATTTACTAGATTCAACTTTTACAGTATAAGATGAAACAAAGTTATTTTATTTTGTCAACATTTCAAATTTTTGATATTTTGAACTGTTGGTATTTTTAACTGTTAAGGTTTTTGGTGTCGAGGTTTTAAATGTCACCACAAAAATGAGGAAGTAGGTAATAATGACTTCTATTATAAGACTTTTAGTTTCAAATATTTATGAAAAAAAAAGTGAATTTTAAATATAACTTATATAATATATTTTTAATTCTAATACGAACTACACAACATAACACTAACCACATAATTATGAGAAATTCCTTATTCAATTTTTATTCCTTAGCTATAAAAATTGGAATTTTGAACATTTTTAACTACAAAATCATTATTTGTAAATATTTATAATCTATGAATGTAGCGATTATGCAACGTAATGTATTTATTTTTTTTGTTTTTCATCACTTTTTGGGGTAATACAAATATAATTTTTAACTTTAAAGATAATACCAAATTGGATCTAATTATCAAAATAGTTTTTTTCTTTTTGAGCAATATATGTCTATACATATATTGCTCAAAAAGAGATGTCAATAAAAAAGTTTTTGCTCAATCAAAAGCTTGCAAGTATAATACAAGGTTATTTATTATTATAATTTTTTTTTTTTTATATTTTTATGTAATATTAAAGGTATATAGGTGTATATTTTTTTAATTAACTGAAATTAAAATTTTAACAATATTCGTTTATAAATTACAAAAATATGCAGGTTATGTTATGTAGTTTAAATATATAAAATATTCTATTTTTCTACCTAAGGATTAAAAATGTAATACAAAAGATTTCTTATACTGTAGATAAAAAATCTAAAATATTAGTACACAATTTTTCTTATAAACAATATTAGCAGAAGTTTATACAAAATTATATATTTAATCAAAGAATAGTGATTTCAGTTATTTTGTTGTAATGTAAGAATACTATAATTATTGAGAAGTTGAAACTTTTAAAGTTTTATTGTAAATTATTATATTTTATACTCACAGTGACATTTAACATTTAAGTTTTATTTATCAAAAATAATAGTTTAAGCTGTTTAAAAATGTTGTTTCATTTTTATTTCCGATGTAATTTATAGAATCTGGCATTTTTTTTATTCAATTTTATATTATTACTAGCTATCTCCGTGCACTTAGTTGCCCGTACAAAAATCATCTGTATCAAACTTTATTGCCTAACGTGCTAAAATTTAAAATTTGGCGTAACGCGCGTAGATAAATAATATTTTTAGTTTTTTTGATTAAGTATACAGATGATATTTCCGATATATCAATTTTCACAGCTGTTTACCCAGCGTTGCTTTTTTTTTGACCATTTAATAGAAACATTTTTTTTTTTTCATTTTTTTTTTTATTAAACAACTCTAATTTGATTTCCTCTTCATTCTGGACCAAAAACTAAAACTAATTAAGTTTCAATAGCGTTAACCAAACGACTAACACAACGAAAACGTTTTTTTTTTTTTGTAATACTACATCAACTATTCACTAAAGCAGCAATCGTCAACCACTGGTCCGCGGACCTCTGGTGTTCTATGGTAAGAATTTGGTGAACCACAGAAAAATTTGAACATTATTTACAATGTTGTGTTTATGATAGTAATATACAAAAGTATTGTATAATGTCGCTGTATGTAGGTTCAGTTTACGACAAATAAGAATAAACGAGTAATAATATTGTTATTATTATCGCATGTTATGAAATAAATAGACCTAATAATATCGTTATCGCAATACGTTCTAAGAAAACTAATGATTCAAATCCAGTCTTCATTTTAACTTTTATTTATTAATATATTTTTTTTTTTTTTGTAATCAATAAAAATTAAACTTACTTAAATAATTTTTGCTATACATAAGAAAAAACCTTTATTGATATATTTTAAAATATGCGTTGGTTTATTTATTTTTTGGTATTTAAGACTTATGAGTATACATTAGTGGTCCGTAAAATTTAGAGTTATGAATTCATTGGTCCGTGAGGTCCAAAAGGTTAGCGACCGCTGCACTAAAGTACCTACTAATTTCTAATAATAACTAATAATTGGTAACATGAATGAAAAAATAAAATTTATCAAAGTGCATATTTTCCAATTACTTATAAAATTAATTTATAGAATTAGAAATATTCTTAAAGTCTACACCGGGATGTACTCATTCGTTAAAAAAAAAAAAAATCAAAATAATTGGATAAGTAGTTTTAGAAAACATACATGACACAGATTTATATTTTTTATTTTATATATAAGATATATACAGTGAAACTTCCCTTAAATTACACCTCTAAATAACGGACACCTCCAAATCAGGGACGTTTTTTCGGGGACGGGGACATTTTCACTATTTATGTATAAGAAAATCTCTAAATACAGGACACTCTAAATAACGGACACTTTTATGACACTGATATTAATAATTTTTATTTTTAATTACGAATTATTTTGGAATACCTGAATAAAAACCTCAATTATTAAGTTATCTTATGTGTTCATTATTAAACTGTACATGAAAATCTTATCCGTTCAGTCATTGAAATATTATCGCGTCAACGAAATATTGTAACCAATGCATTGTCCTATGTGCGTTGTGATGTCAATATACGAACATTTATTGTAGTAGAGGCATTGCCAGCAGTAAAAGGCATTCGTAAATATATTTCTTCTATCAAGGTACAGAATAAATCATTGTTTTCAAATACAGTCCAATTAGAAAATGCCTTAACACGCGAAATAATTACGCCTGCGATTAGTAAACAAACTAAAGTAACAGATTTTTTTCAGAAATGTTAGTTTTTATTTTTTTTAAATGTATTTAATTAATGTAAAAATAAAATAAAAATTTAGTTAACTGGTTTTTTTTTTCATAAATGTTAGTTTTATCATGTATTTAATTAATGTAAAAATAATATAAAATAAAATTATTGAATTTATTTATTTATTGAAAAAAATGTTTTTCTCTAAATAACGGCAAAAATTTCGACGATTGAGAGTGTCCGCTATTAAGAGATTTCACTGTATATATATACATAATATTATCAATACATTTCTTAAAACAAATGATATCTTGACGCAGATATCAAACACATAATTTGATGGACAAAAAAGTCAGATTGCAGGTAATCAGAAACTCGCCGGCCAAATTTAACACTTATTTTAATTATTAATAATTAATTATTTACTAACTTTATGGAACTATATTTATGCTTATGGAATTTGCGTTATCATAAGTAACATATAAAAAAAATTCGATCAAAATTGAAACGATGGTATTGATTTTACTTTACATAAAAAATGCACTTACAGCTTTATATAGTAGTAAAATACAAATAAGTTTTTAAAAATACATAAATCTTATCAGAAAATAATTTTGTAAATTACATTTTTTATTTATTTTTTATTCATTTAAACATAATTTAAACTAGCTAACAGAACTACTAAAAAAAAAAAGAAATAAAATAACAATAACAATAAGTAGAATAGGTAATTAGAATAGCAATTTACGTATCATGATATTATAATTTTTGAATATTTAATTACATTTTTTTTCTCTATCAATATCTTATATAACTCATATATTAGCTATTGTCTGATGATTATTTCATAACACCTATCAATCACCTGTCATTTTATTTTTATTAAAACAGAATTGAATTAATATTTGATATAATTATATAATCCAAATTAACTAGTATTAAAATGTTTACTAAAATGTATTTTGTAAATGGGGGGATATTTTATAACCCAAGTACCCGTGACTTATATATTTGTTTAATATGAACAGGTTTCACTGAACAACTTATTGGCTTCTGGCCTTGTCATTAAGATTGTAGGGGACACCTATTTGAAAATTTTCTACTTTAGTTGTGGTTGATGCATTGACAAGACGATTTCTTTCCTAGGACGTTGCAAAGTAAGTACACGTTGTTATTATTATTATTTTTTATTTTAATAAAGATTATTAAATATTGATCTACAAATAGCTGGTTCTAAATAATTTAACATGGTTTATTAAAAATAAATTTGCCTTATCAAACAGTATTTTTTTTTTTTTAATCAATATTATTTATTTTTTTTAAAATTATTATCTACTTACACAGTCTAATTAATTTTCTTCAATATTTATCTGGAAAAAAATTATATTAATAGATTCACAACGTACTATACTTTAGAAGCATATTTAATTCACTATATTAGTAACCTTGCTATAAATTGTGTCGTAGGTTATTTTAATTTTTAACTAAAATCATATTAATTGTTATTTACCCTTAAAATGTGTAAAAAATACATTGTTTGAAATAAAATATTGTAAAACCCTGATACTCTGAATGCAATATTTGAATACCTTATAACAAAATATACAACAATAAAAATATTAATTGAATCCATAGCAAAATTTAAAAATTGGGTTTTATTATGAAAAAAGTCAATACATTGTTAATTGTCATTAAGTTATACATAAATAAGTAAATTTTCTGATATATTTTTTATAATGTTTGTTTAATATCAATGTTTAATGTTTATATTTATATCATTATATTGTTATAACTTAATAATTGAGACACTTATTAAAACAAGGACCCAATTTGGCTTTTTTTTTTTTCAAAATCCGGTTTTTCTTATCAAAATCCTTAATTTTTTAAATTTCATATTATGGTAGAATATAGGTCTTTTATGCTTACGGAAACGCACTATAATAGACAAAGAGACAAACAAAATTTAATTTTAATAGAACAAAGGCCAAATTAATGAAAATAATCGTATTTATTTATGAAGTAAGATATTGTGATTACTAGTATTAAGTTTTGTTGTATTCTCAAAGTTAATATCTATATCATATTGTATATTTTATATTACTCTGTTAATTAATAAAAATTATATAAAAACCAATAATAATATTATTTTTAATGTTTATTTATAATATATTATTATTATTATTAAATAATATTTTACACTTAAAAAATGTGTTTTCTTATTAAATAAATATAAATATTTAATTTTCAAATTTTTTTGGTACAAGGGCCCAATTTTACAATTTTTAAAAAATTCTTCAGGCTAAATTAATATAAAAATAAATATTTTATAAACTAAATTGACTCATTTAATGGTAATAAATAAGGGAAAATTATAAAGTTTTCATTTTTTTTAAATACTTTTATATTATTTGTCTTTAACATTTATTCAGCTTTAACTGTGTACTGATTAAAACGTAATTTAAATTCACTTTGACTTTTATGAAGTAATTTTACGTGACATGAAAACTAATCGTTTATTAACCAACGCGATTTCATTTTATTGAACAACCATGAGAAGAATATAAATTGTACCAACTAATTACAAAATACTTACTATAACCTATATTATTTGTATATGGAATTGTCGTATAATACTTTCGATTTAATAAAAAAATAATATTGTTACAGTAACTCAAGTGTAGTATTTTTTAACTTTTGTAGAATTAAACAGTTTAGAAGTTTTACTCTAATATTGTGCATAAATATTTTCTTATAGTAAAGTATGGTATTTACAAAATGTCAAAATAAAGTACTCCCGTTAATATATAATTCTATCGATTCCTGACAAATTTAGTTCAGAGGATTCCAGCGCAATATTGTTTTCTCACTCACACCCGCGTGTCACATACTTAAAATGCTTTCACCTAAAATTTTTTTTTTACGACTTTAGAGTAATCATAGAGTAAAAATACATATTACATAAATTATAGAGGATAATATTTTTGAAGGATAAACATATCGGTTATATATTGTATTGACTTAGTATTCAACTTTCAAAAAAAAAAAAAAATTATAAACTTAAATGTTATTTAAAATTGTTATGAGACAATAATTAAACAAATCGATATGTTAAACCCTCAAAAATATTATTTTTTCTAGTTTTTGTTACGGATGACTTAACTCTAAAATTACTCAAAAATATCAAAAAAATGATTTTGCACGTAAATGCATTTTGTCTATGTCACACGTACCCGAGAGAAAGAAAACACATAGTGCACTGACATCCTCTTAAACCAAAATATTTCAAAAGTTTTGAGAAATTAAAAATATTAAATAAAAATAGGTTTGTTTTTGTAAAAATGTATTACTGCTAAAGCTTGATTCGATTCAAATTGTAATGATAATTGTATTGTTGATTAAATTTTTGTACTCGGAAGTCTTATAAATTAGAGACGAGACTGTCTGTTATTTCCTAATATGAATTGTGTCGTTATTATCAGTCCCTAAAAAAATCGTTCTCCTTTTACCTTGAAAATGATCATTTTGTCGTTGTATTGTCAAAGTAATAATCGATGTTTTCCAACAGCCTGTCTACCTTGTGTACATATATAGGAATGGTAAGAACAACTTTTTTGAACGTGTGCTTTGGAACTTGAGAATTCATAATACCTACGCAGGGTCATAAAGAAGTATTGATTATTTATACTAATGTACTGGTATATCTATCCAAGGAATTTTACGTACAGAGATATAAGTTTATTCGAATTAAATACCATAAACTATGAGTTCATAGTAAATACAAACTATTCTTGTTTTTCTAGTACACGATCAAGGTCATTAAATTTTTAAATAGTCTAAACTTCTTCAACACAGATATATTTCTAATGACTAATGAGTAATGACATATCGTTAATTCAAGGTGGTTTGATTCACTTGTCTTCTGTGTTGTAGATGAGTATTATAGTTTGTGTGAAACCATTAATTGTAATGAGATAACAATTATTTTTATTACTAGTTTAATACAATTAGATGGTCAATGCTAGTTTATTAAAACTTACATGATACGTACCTACATTTGAAATCATGTTAATAAGACAATAAAAAAGTAAAAAGTAGCTTCTAAGAATATTAAAATTGGATATTTAGTAAATGAAAGTGGGTTGTAAAAAATTAAAAATTGCAAAAAAAATACGAATTTAAATAAAAATAAAATTAATCTAAATATTATTTTGAATGTTGTGTCTTATTAAAAAAAATGTGAAAAATAAATAAATTTTCAAAAATAATTTAATCTAAATAAAAAACAAAAGTATATAGGGCTGTGAAGAGAAAAACAAACAACAGCCGGACCTATCGCAAAAAAAATTTAAAACTATAAAACGAAAAAATCCGTTTTAGATTCTAAATAGAGTGATAAATGATGTTTAGTTGTTCAACAATGTTGTGTATTTTTTTGTATCTGGACAAAATTTTATTTTTATTATATTATAAACGCTTTAATCTTCAACTTTGAAATTTCTGGAAGAAAATTGTATCTTTTCAAGTGAAGTAAAAATTCTCAGCACCTCTTTTAATAATCAGGAAATATAAAAAAAGTAATTATGGAAAACAGGCCCATTTATCTTTTTGACAAAATCGATCTCGTCGTTTTTTTATTATTGAAAAATGAATGAAAGTATGTTTTTCATATTATATAGCATTTTAGGGACATGATTTATTTTTAAAATAAGGAAATCTATGAAATATTTTATTTAAAATTTGATGTTATTTTGTTGTAATTTAAACAATATTTAAACAATTCCATTTGATTAAATTATTAGTGTACTTAAGAATTTAAATTCAATCTATAATTTTGAAGTTACAATTAATTTTATATTTGTACTATTTTTAGTATGGAAGTGTCTCAAAATTTTCACTTGAATTCAAAACATTCAGCGGGTGGGGGTGGGTTCCGATTGACAAGTACTGAGTTGACTGCTTACGCAGTAATTTCTTTTGTTGTGGTGTTATGGTTTCATTACAAATGGAGCCGCAGACACTTCGAAAGAGTGGCAGCCAAAATGACGGGACCACCGTCATATCCAATTATTGGCTCAGGGCTTGAGTTTGTTGGTACACCTCAACGTAAGACAAACAATAACAATCCAAAAACAATGAGAATGAATTATGACATGTGTTTTGCTTTTTCAGAGGTCATAGAAAGAATAATTAAACTGTTTGAAATCTATGGTTCCGAACCGTTCAAAATATGGTTAGGTACATCTTTAGGCGTGACCATATGCAAGCCAGAAGACGTACAAGTAAGTATTTTATAATAAAAGCCATAACTTTTTATTTAAATGAATTAGAGAGATAAACTGGTTTGATGAAAACATAAAATGAATGAAGATGTAGGAGTCAGAAAATATATACATATATATAATATGTGCTATTTATTCTGAAAGTGATTTTATAAATCATTTCCAGACGTGTCATATGACATGACGGAAATTTAATATCTATCTAGTATTTAATAGTTGATTTGTTTCAGATAGTATTAAACAGTTCCAAGGCTTTGGAGAAAGACAAGTTCTATAAATTTTTCAAGAATACTGTAGGTGAAGGTCTTTTTTCAGCCCCAGGTCAGTGTATAATAGTATTATCTTTGATAATTTGCATGTCAATTTTATTTATGTCTACCATAATTGATGTTTTATTGAAAAATTTAAAAAAATAAATAAACATAGGTAATTAAATAAAATTATTGCCGCAAATTGTAATGAAGTATGATACCATCGTTACAACAACATTATAAAAGTACACTTAATATTTATATAAGGGCACATATTATTATTAATAAATTATAGTATAGTTATCAGTGTTTACTATTGCTAACGATATCAATAAAATATAATATAATACAAATAACATATAAATTCACGGTCACCGCCACCGATCCACACACACACACACACACAAACATATTTTTCTTAATTAATTTTATATTTTAATTGCCGCTGTGAATTATATAATATCATAGCATTATCTACGGATTCACTTTATCTGTTTTCGTCGCGTCGGGTGCGCGAATATTATTTAGCACGGCCGCCGCGAAAACTGTCTTCTACCATACGTCGTCGCGTAAAGACCAAACGGCCGTTTGAATTGTTATACTGTTCTTTTCTAAATTATATTTACATTGTGAGCGTAAATCGCAATCTTTCATTATTATTTTATGTGTTTTGTGCGTGAATCGCCAATTTTTTTATATTTCTATTCGTACCTTCTATGTGTGTGTATGTGTTAATTACCATTTTATTATATAGCATAGGAAGCAGCTGGCCAGTCTGCGCTACACAATTTGTGAGTTCTTATTATTATTTATTAAATTTTTATACTTTTAAGCCAAAAAGGCCAAATATCATGATTATTATATTTATATAATAGCTTTAATAGCTACCTACATTGTCTTAATATTTATATTATTTAGCCCAAAGGGCACGTATTACTATTGTTATTATTATAATTAAATCTATATTCATACGAGTTACAGCTCAAATATTTAACTAGGTATATAAATATATATTCTGTTGGCTAGAACGGCCATTTATCATACTATACTGTTCTGCCTGGCCATAAGGGCCTTGCATGCATAATTTTTTTGATTTAACCTATTTTTTATATTGTAGCTCTAATAGCTACTTGTATTGTTTTTATATTTATATTATTGTTATATTTTTACATGTTGGGCCAAAAGGGTCGTAATTACTGTTAGTATATTATTTATCAGTATTATATATTCTATTACCGTAACATAGAGTTACCATTCATTTACATTGAGTTACCTGATTTCCCTAGTTTTAAGTCTTACACACATACACACACCATCTACACACTAGCACCCACAGGATTTGCTCGGCGAACCTGTTCACTTCCTGTTGAGTGCTATACACATATACAGTATACACACATACACAGGTCAGTCGGTGTGTGACCGTATAAATAGCGTACGCAATATTTGGTGACCGGGACGCGCGTATTTATAATTATATGCTCCCGGCCCTAACAACTATTATTTAATCAATGACGGATATATCATTGTGTAAAAGTGCAAAAATGTGATTCACATGTTACCGGGTCATTAATCAACATAATAGTCTATGACGTGAATGTAATATAGACGTATTTCTATTTTATAAATCGATTATAACAATAATTATTATACAATAATTGTATTGATTTTGTAATGATATGTATTTTTGTTGTTGTTTCTGTGTACACGATAAATAGTTAATACAACGATTTGATTTTAAACTTTGAGGGTGGTTTTGAATGGCAAATTGGATTTAGTTTGTACTTTAAATATGTTAAAATTAAAAATTTCTAGTAATTTTATTTATAATTGGAGAAAACAAACAAAAAATTAGTGAAAAACGGGATTTTTACACTAAACTAGTTTTGATTAAAAAGATTTATTTATTTTTTTATTATTTAAATACTTGAAATTTTCACTTGTTCATTTTGTCTTTTTTCATACGTGGTATAATTTTCAAATTATTTTAAGGTGTTTGAGACAGTTAAAATTTTCGATTTTTTTTCTAAATTTCAATGAAAAAATTATGAATGGTATACATGCTTGAAAATTTAATGTAAGGTTCCTAATAAGTGATTTATTACTACATTAACAAATATCGAAAATTTAATCGCGATTTTTTTTTGTGTTTAAAGTTGGAATTTCGTCAAAATTCATCAATCTCAAAAATATATCAATTATTTTTAGATAAGAAATTCATAAAACTTTTTGAGCTATTTAAAGGTGTGATATATTTTTATTTTCTTATTTTAAATGTTTGTAAAAAAATGTTTACTGTCTCATAATTATTAAAAATTAAATAAAAGATCCCCTATAAGTTTTCTTATATAATATTTATAAAAAAACATATAGGAACAATTTATTATATGAATTTGAAGTTTAAATTTTGGTGAAATTCATCAAAATTACTAAAAAATTTAAACTTTTTTGTAGTTAGAAATTCATAAACACTTTTAATTTTATATCTAAGTCTTAAAAATTGAACACGAAATTCATCAAAAGTAGTTTATACTGAAACACTAAAATATAAAATATATACTGAGATAATATTTTTTATAGATATTTTAAGTTTAAATTTGGATGAAATTAACTTATTTAACGATAAATAACGATGTTAATTATTATTTTGTTATAATTTAAAATTTTAAAAATATTATTCATGAAATTTAAAAGGTTTACTGTACATATATTATATTATTATAAATTTTATTATAGCCTATACCATTTTTGATGTATCTAAAAATACTATCTATTTAGACCATGAACCTATTTTTACTGTTTTACGGTATTTCAAGAAAGATAATATTAAATTTCCAACTATTTAAGTTGATATAATATGATATACATTTATATTATTATAATAATTTAATATTAATAATATAATAAATATAATTTTACCGGATAATATTATATTTACGTACCGTATTACTAAAACTAAAATAAATGATTTTAAAGGACCATCCAACTCATAAAATTTTTTTAGGCTTAAATTATAATACATGTACAATGATAAAAAAAATTATATCACTAAAATTTGTTGCATACAAAAACATGTTATAAAATATACTATATTATAATATAGACTGATTGACCGTCTCTGCTAAGAATATTGTTTCATATACAATGATACATCATTGAACTAAAATTTAACATATCAATATTAATGACCCACTCGACGTCTAATGTACAGTAAAGATATACCAATTTTTATAGCTTTGTTTAGTTTAAATATATCGAATTAATTTGATTTTTTTGAGCTTGTATTTTTAAAAGTATGAAATGAATAATAATGTATATAAAATAGGTAAAAATATAAGTTTCTATATTAATATTTTGTCGATAAAATAAGAATTTAGTTAATAGAATCTAATATTACAATAAGAAACAATAATAATTATAATAATTGCGCGATAATGTTTATATCGTTACACAAAAAGTATTAAAATTTAATAAAATTGTAATTTATTATATTCATGTAGACTAGAATCTCGAGTAGTTTTTAAATTTATATTATTAATACTACATTTTTAATTTTATTAAGTATTCTAATATTAAATTAATTAAAATCAATAGATTATTATTAATTATAATTTAATTCATAAAACAATGTAGGTATCTTATTCAATATAACAATTTTAAAAATATTTTCAGTTAATAAATGGCGAAAACATCGTCGTCTGATTACTCCAGTATTTAATGCCAATCTTCTCGATCAATTTTTTCCTGTTTTTAATGAAAGAAACCAAATTCTCACCAGGAGTCTAAAAAAAGAATTAGGTAAAACACAGCCATTTGATCTTTGGGACTATATAGCGAATACCACTCTTGATATAATCTGTCGTAAGTGTTTAAATGTTTTAAATATGTTATCTATATTAGTATATATATTTTAATAACTATATCTAATTATGAGATGTTATATTAATTATAGAAACCGCAATGGGTTACAAACTTGACACTCAATTAAATAAAGAGTCTGAATTTGCTGAAGCATTAACAAAGTAATACAATGAAATATATAAAACACAATAAATATATTTTAATATATATGAAGTATTTATTTTTAGAGCATCAGAATTAGATTCCATGAGAATTTACAAGCCATGGTTATATCCCGACATAATATTTTCAATTTATAGAAAACTTACGGGACTACACAAGGTATACAAAACGTTACACGCACTTCCAAATCAGGTAATTTAATTATTTAATATATTATGTATAAATATATTTTTTATTTTGTATTAATACATTTTTACTATAATAGGTAATCAAGGAAATGAAAGAAACATACACACAAAGAAAAATGAAAAATAAAAATAACACCATAGATGACACCGATGGTGATAGTGAGTAATTTAAGACTAAATGTATACTATGCTATATACTGTTTTATTGTTTATTTTAATTATATTTTAGAAAAGCATTTTAAAGGGTTTTTGGACACGTTATTGGAACTGAATGAAGCTGGTGCAAATTTTTCTGATGAAGAACTTAGAGACGAAGTTGTGACTATGATGATTGGTGTAAGTGTAACTAAAAATAGAGAAGTGTGCAGAGAATTTTTAAATATTATTGACAAATTAATTACAGGGTAGTGAAACCAGCGCTATCACACTTTGCTTTTGTCTATTAATGTTAGCTATCCATCAAGAAATTCAAGTAAGTGCTTGCGAATTATAAAATTTAAAATATTGAAACATTATTATCATTATGTATTAAATATTTTATTAAATATTTAAAATTGTGTTAAATGATAGAATAATACTTTTTGTGTTGGTTATTGGGGAACATTAACAATATGCCATTGTATCATGAATTTTATCATTGAAATGAAACGTAACATGTTTGACTTGTATACGAGCTTGACTTGATCATATTAACTAAGTTAGAAATACATTATTGTACTGATTATTATCCTGTAATATTATAGGATAAGGTTTACGATGAAATTTTTGAAGTATTAGGTGACGGTGACCAAACAATAACTATTGAAGACACTACTAAATTAGTTTACCTCGAACAATGTTTACGAGAAACTCTCCGATTATACCCTGTAGGACCAATGATACTCAGACAACTCCAAGATGATGTTAAAATTTGTAAGCGTATATTAAAGCTGCTATATTATAAATTGCACATAAATTGCATAAATATTTTTTTTAATTTAGTTTCCGGCGATCACACGCTACCAAAAGGCACAACATGTGTTATATCTCCAATATGTACGCACCATATTCCTGAGCTGTATCCAAATTCATGGTCGTATAACCCGGATAATTTCGACGCTGAAAATGTTAATAAACGCCATAAATATAGTTTTATAGCTTTCAGTGGCGGTCCAAGGGGTTGCATAGGTAAAGTAACATATTATTGCTTATAAGTTATACATTTAATAAAACAACAAAACATAGTATATAATTCTATTATGTAATATACATGTATTTAAATTATTTGAATAACAGGATCCAAATATGCTATGTTGTCAATGAAAGTTCTAGTATCAACGTTTTTGCGAAACTACAGTGTACACACAGACATAAAATTAAGTGACATCAAATTAAAACTAGATTTATTAATGAGAAGTGCTAATGGTTATCCTGTGACTATTCGACCAAGAGATAGAAGACCTACGTATAAAAAGAATTAAACATATTGGGAGGAAAATTTGTGATAGATAATATCATAATATATTATCAAAGAATAAAAACAAGATTAAGCTAATGAGTAATTTGTAAATGGTTTTATAAAAAAAGTGTTTTAAATTCAATTTTAAAATAGGTGTTATTATATGTTTTAATATTATTGACTTGTAATTTTATTTTATATATTTTTGTTAAGTATATAAAATGTATTTTAGTTATAATATTTATTATTAAAATGGTATATAATAGTATACAATTGTCAATAGATGACTAAAATAGTAGCACCTTTTATTCCGTGTTAATAAAACTATAATTAAAAGGCTCATTCAAAATTAGTGGATGTGTCTAATGTCAATTATGTATTCCCTATGTGACTTGTGTCTGCGTTCAAATTATATTTTACTTACTACACATTTCAGTAGCCGAAAAAAGACACTAGATTTAAATATTTATTTAATTTATTCCTTGTAGTCTTGTAAAACACCAGACAATTACTGGATGTAACTTTATATTAATAAATTATAATTTCTATGTGTGTAGATATATAAACACATTTAAAGTTAATTCAATCTTATTTATTCTGTTAATATTATATTAAAGTGAATCATATTTATATAATAATATTTTATACACTAAGTTAATTATAATATTTTGGAACCAATGTATTATAATAGTACAAATATTTAGATTCAATTGCAAGTTGAATATACTATTTACTTTATAATCTTTCTTAAAAATTTATTGTGACAAATAAACAAAAAAGCTTTTATGTTAGATTTTTTTTAAGTTTCCTTGATATATGTCATCTAAACTTGGGTATATACTATATAGAATTATAATTTTTTGAAATTTTAGTATAACAGATAAAAATATGGTAATTTAATTTGTAGGTACTATAGATTTAAATTGACAGCACAAAAACAATTTTTAAATTATAATAGCAATTTAACAAATATACAAAATAAAATTATATAGTTTGTAAGTTAATTAGTAATTTAAAATGTCCACGACTACGTTGTATTTGAAGATTGTTTGGATGAGCATTCAGTCTAAAATGCTGTGGACTGCCAGCTTTTTGTAAGAGGCTGAAAAAGTTTTCCGGTAATTCCTTTATTTAGCTTTTGCTTTTTGATAGTTGGTAATTTTAAATCAAAGTATAGTGTGTCGTTTTTAATAAATCGTGGAGAATTTAAGATTACGCACATATTAATTGTTTATCATATTATTAAGAAGACGGAACATTTTTCAAACAAAAATTATTTTTATATACTTACTTAAATACCTAGTTCATAAAAATACAAAACTAAAATTATAAATTGTAAAAAAAATTTAAAGTTTCTTATGTTACATTAGAATTAATAACATATTTATAATGAGTTACTAAGCATTATTATTAGTTAATGATTAAGTATAAAGTAGAATATTTGGTAAGCATAGTATAAATTAAAATTATAGCAACATATTATTATCAACGTTTAGGTTATTAGTTACAATATTTTTTTAGGAAATTATATGAAAACTTTGTATTAAAGTTTTATACCAAGTCTTAAAATACCAAATTATATTATATTTGATTGATAGACGTGTAAAAACAGTGATTTATAAATTTAATATATTTTACTCCTAATATTTTATTTTACGCAATATGACTTTGTTTATACAAAATATGTTGCCTATACCTAAGGTTTTATTGCATTTTACAGAGTTTTAAAAATAAGAACTATTATTGTAGCTGTACATTATATTAATTTAAATTATTTCCATATTTTAATAAAAATTTTTGGTTTATAATAATATTGTTATATATTTATTTGTCAAATTTATTAGTTTTAAGGGATTATCTATATGCAATAGGCATTTTATACCGATCGATTTTAAGAGGTTGGTTTTAAATGTTGGGTTTTGTCTTGGGATGATATGCTAATTATTATGTTGCAGTTAATGCAATATTTTTATTGATAATTATTATCAATTTAACTTTGACTAATTAATTTAAAATCTACTTAGAAATTCATAATATTATATTTACGACCAAACTTCATAAATTTTGATTTTTAAAGTTTATAAATTATATTTTATACGAATTATTTTTTTCCCAACCTACTATATATTAAAATGTAAATTTAATTTATATATGTAACGTGTATGTGTAGACATGTAGTTGTTATGATCTAAACAAAACCTATCAAATGTATTATTTAAAACTTGTTTTTAACTTATTATTTTAAATCTTAAAATCTATTTTAAACTATAACTGTATTTTTATATCAACTCGTTAAATTTTAACTTTAAATGCTTGAATTTTATTTTTTTTAAGACAAAAACTTAAATTAGCAATATTCAACAAATATCTAAATATAACTATATGAATAATAAAATTTTATTTTCATAAATATAAGTAATATTAACTAATGAATATTAAAAAAAATTGTTGCTAAAAACAGTTAATACAGATGTGCTATGTGCCGTTGCTTATTAATTATTATAAATCTACTCAATATCAAAAAATAATCTTTAAAATGGATATTGATCAGGTACTGATTCAATTGTCTATTTAATGATTATTTAATTTATTTGATGATTAACTTATATATTTGTTATCATTATCATAAAAACAATATACAACGATTCGGAATGTACTTTAATACGTGGTTGATACCTGACATTCATTTTATCATACATTTTAACTCTTATCTGATCAACAATATTTTTTTATATGTATCAAGTATACCAAATAGAGTATTTAATAGTTTATAAATCTTATAAAAGCTTCGTATTATTATTTTGCACTTTTATAAGGTTTTTAAGCATTGATATTATAGGTATATTATTACTGATAGGTATAGCATATTATTGATGTTAAAAGTTCGTGTTGTTTAAGAGTGCTAAACATTTATTTATTTATAAAATATACTGGCACTAGTACTTTTTACAAAGTAATAATGCACTTTAAATAAAGAAATAATATTTTAGACAATACAAATATATAATCTTATAACTATTAATTTTCAAAAAAAGACTGAAAATAAGGGATTTGCATTTGCACGAGATATTAATCATCTAATTAGTTGATTTCTCGTGTTGTTATTGGTAGAGCGAGAAATAAAAAAGGAGCAGTTTTTCTAGTTGCATGCTGAGAAACCCTAAAGCTTAATAAAAATAGAAGAATCCACTTAATTGTCCAAAAGCCCATTTAGGAAAAGTATAAATGTGGACCTACGCCTACACTCATACAGCCAGGGATTATTCAAAGTACATAATAACGCTTGACGAAAAAAATCATAAGCTTTTTTTTTACCCAGTCGCAGAGCAAGGACGATTTTCACGCTGTTCGGTACTTGGTGTGAATTTCGTGCTAGTTGGCGTTGTTATACTACGGAACAATGAAAAAACATTCCTTTCCGATCATGGTGTACAATTTATATGATATGAAAATTATTTTATTTTTTATAGTTCAGTTAACTAAATGCTCCCGTGGCTGAATTTGCTGTGATTTAATAGACGTTGTGAGTAGACTGTTGGAAGATTTGCACATATAAAACTTTATGGTTTTTAATTCTCTCGAGTTACTGTACAAAATAAAATGTTTTGACCCTTTCACACGACTACCAATGCATTAAAATTTTTCCTCCTCAAAAATTATTTAACATTTAAAACGAAATAGTGACTTTTTTCAGATCGGTCGCAGGGGCCAAATACGCAGCACAATAATATTGACAGTGGTCATGATCCTAAATCGATGGTTAATTCGAATATTTTATATCCATGTAAATCTTTTATGTCTGCTACTAACTCGTCCATCTTCTTGTTTGGTATATAATTATTTTCTGCAATTTTAACCAAATCGCACACTCGTCAACTGTTACATAAAAACAATTGAAAGTAGTATAATATAATATCATATTGTTGATAGATAAAAAATAACGTTTAAGACACAATAATAGATCAATAGACATTAAAGCATTGTTTTTGACATCTAATATTACAGTTATTCGTTATATCACACAGTGAAGGTTGACACAGTAGATGATGCAGAGTGGAGTTAAATATTAGGAAATATCACACATCGATTTTTAAAGCTTAAGAGGTTTTCTTAACATCATTTCATGATCACTGTGATGGAGACGATGTAAACTTGGCATAATTATCTCGATAAGGTCAAAAAATTAAACCATAAATAAAATTGTATTATCAACAGCAAACAATTCAATACGTCTAAATGCTTACATTATAATATAAACTTCATAAAAATTAAAAATAATAATTATGAAACTTAAAGATCTGATCATTTAGTGATTTTAACGTTCGAAAACCAAAAAATAAACTAAGACAGTACTCTTTAGTATTGAAAAAGCAAAAGGCATAACAAGAAGGCTTACAAAAAATGAAATTATAATATTAACAAAATTATAATAGGGGATAAAAGCTATCGTCAATAAAACATACAATTCTTATACAAATATATAAAACTAAAACATAAATTATAATTATTAACTTAAAAATTTTAAGATTAAAAACAAAAAATCTGTCACCACAAAATTGTAATTTACAAAGATATTTCAAAAAAATAGTTTTTTGAATCCTTAGGTAATAAATATTCATATTATCACAATTTTATTTATTTTGATTTATAATCCAACGATGTTTTAAATATTCTTGACTATTTGTAGAAATCTCATTATCACCCTAAATTCTTAAAAACACATTAAATTAGTTTTGATGAAAAAAAAGTATCAACAGGTGAGAGTAGGCCTTATCTTAAAATTAAAATTATTTTTTTTTACCTATTTTGCACTTATAATATTTTAGAAATACACTTATACTTATATTACCTATGTTGTGTATCGAAACTTTTGAAGAATTTTTAGAATTTTTAGTTACACGCTGTACTATATACTACTGCACAGCTCTATATACGGTCGGTTATATGTGGCCTGTTTCAAACTAATTAATTTTTTTTTTTTTTCATGCTCTTAATAAAAATTGTTTAATTCACAATTTATTTTGAAGACTTTTTAACTATTGTAATAGTTTTAATAAATTATAATTTTGTCATTGATCATCTTGGTGCTTGTAATGACTTGAATCGATGAGGAATGTCTAATAAGTTTTATACATGTGTGAGTTAACTTAAAAATTCTACAAATATAAAAACTATTTACA